TCGAATAAGCGTCCACCCGCACCCCACAGCCCTCCCCTTCCCACTCAAACTCAAATACGTACCCACCCCCTATCCCTACCCTACACTCCCTTCCTCCTACGACACACACAACAAAATGAATAAGCACTAATAAAAGACTTCCCCGAAGACGGATTTTTCAAGTCCTCAGAGTATTTTACAGAAACCTTGCATTGTTACATCTTCTCATTTTGTTGTTACAGAAGCCCATGGTTGTTACCATTGATTGTTTTGTGGCAAAATATACATACTACACTTGCTTAAAATGGTGAAAATTCAATAAGCGCCCATTCTAAAGGTCCAAAAATTAATAAGCGCCCAGGGCGGTTAACCGAATAAACACGGTAACTGGATTCATCCATACAGAAGTTGCCTAAGGCTTTTTTGTTTCCACAGCTTTATTGGGTACTCCTCTTGTAATATCCTATATAAATTTATAACGAAACACAAAAAAAAATGAAAAAAAAGAAAGAAAGAAAGAAAGTAAAGAAAAAAAAAAGCAAAAACCCAAAAGGGGTAGGTGCAAGGGGACTAACGTCCCATGCGAGGTACTGCCCCTAGATTAAGACCTAGGTTAAAATAAAGTAAAATGAATACTCAAACATTCGTACAAAAAATGAAATAAATTACGAGTGGCATGGGCACGTAGGGAGTAGTGTCGACGTGCAGGGGTAATTGTTTTCATACACCCGCGAAAGGTGAGTGCTCATTAATTTGCGAACAAAAAGTTAAAAGGCAGTAGGCGAGGAAAAACTGGTTTATTTATTTATTTATTATTTATTTATAACAACTTTATTTGTAATAATCAATACAAAAAGGCTGCCATCAGGGAGGAACTGAATCCTCATGTAAGATGACCCCCCCCCCCCGGTTGAGGAGTTCTAGCTTACAAACATAGTTCCATAGTTTAACGATACGGTTAAAGTACGAGGCCTGAAAACTTGATGTTTTGCAAAACGGAGTGCGAAGATTAAAGGAGTTACTTAGTCTTGTACGATCATGGGAAACAAAAGATACATAATTCCGAACATCTAAATCGATACTACAGTAAAGGCATTTATAAAAAAATCAAATCTTTAAGTTCACGATCTAGAGAAAATGGAAGTAAGTCTAGCAAAGTCAGCCGCTCTTTGTACGACGACTAGTCTTTGAGCGTGCGTAAAATCCACCTGCTTGCACGTCTCTGCACCTGTTCCACCTTAGCATTCAGAGTAACGTAAGCGGGCGACCAGACTTGGGTGGCGTAACACAGCTGTGTGACTTGACCAAAGACAAATAGAGTGAGCGCCTAACAGAGACGCCAGTAAGCAGGGAACAAGTCCTTTTAAGCAAACCAAGAAGCTTGTTTGCTTTCGCAGTGATAGTGTGGATGTGTGAGTCCCAAGAGAGCGTACTAGTTATGATGACGCCAAGATCTTTTTCTTCTGAAACGCGTGTCAGGGCTGTGCCATCAAGGGTGTAGTCAAAAGCAATCGGAGTCTTTTTCCTAGTCACAGTTAGTACTTTACATTTAGACGTATTAAATCTAATATCATTGCGCTGCGACCAGACGTGCATATTAGAGAGAGTGTCTTGTATGAGGTCACAGGAGGCCTAAGATGCTCCCCTGCGTAACCCGAGATCTGGTTCTATTTTCGTTTCGCTTTATAAATAACATTCCGCCAATTTTAGCGGTAGCCGTTAGAGAGAATGTATGAGAACCGCTCAAATTGGGCCTGATTTCAGGTTACCCCTGCGGAACGCCAGAGGTTACAGGAGACCAAAGAGAAGCCGCATTCTCAAGAACCACCCTTTGTGTACGCTCAGTTAGGTAGTCCTTGAACCAGCAGAACAGTTGACCTTTTACACCGTAAAGCCTCAGCTTTGCCAGAAGAGCGTCTGATCGACAGTGTCAAAGGCCTTAGCAAAGTCCAGGTAAATCATATCTGACTGAATGTTATTATCCAAGGACTGACCGACTGTGTGTAGGACTAACAAGAGCTGAGTTACACAAGAACGATTTGGGAGGAATCCATGCTGCAGTACACTTATCAAGTCTTTTAAATGATCGTAAAATCGATTGCCCACGCAGCGCTCCAGAACTTTGCTAACAATTGGGAGTATAGTAAGGATATAGGGCGATAATTTTTAGCAGCCTCTTTAGAATCTTTTTTGTGGATAAGTGTAAAATCTGCGGATTTCTATTCAAGAGGAATTTGACCTAAGCTAAGAGAGTGATTAACAAGGGAACACATGCGGGGTGCTATTTGCTCGCTGCACTCCTTCAGCAGATGAGCTGGAATTTTGTCTGGACCGCATGCTTTTGTTGTGCCTAGATCACTCAAGCGTTCCATTACTTCATCCTCCGACACCTCAATTTACGAAATTTCCATATCATTGATAGAAGAGCTGGTAATATATTCACTGTTATTGAGGCCATAAGTTGTTGGGAGAAAGACAGAGCAGAAATATTTATCAAAAACTTCAGCTTAGCCTACAGGGGTTTCAGCTACCTCGTGGTTGTAAGGGTTCTGATCTCCTTTTCAATTTCAACAATTTCCACTAAACTCAGAGTCTTCTCTTAGTGGAGAAATGGAAACGAACGTTGCTCTTTAACTAGTGGTGGTTCATACTATTGCCACTTGTCAACTTAAAATTATCTGGAATTTGATTCAAGAACATTCAGGAGACAATTACAAATGGTCAAGTGCTGAGAAGCGCGCTCTCAACCCCAGCGGGCTGGGGAAGGGAGGGGGGGGGTACTCCGGATATCCTGCCGGAGAGGGATGATCAAAGGATTTCTTTTGGAAATTTTCGATTTCGGGATTTGTTTGGGTAGGAAAATTTTGGCAAGTATTTTTTGGGCAGTTTGATTTAAGTAGGGATTGTTTTGGGTATTGAAAACAATCTGAAGCTTCATGATAGTTATATCATTTAACACTTCTTGGAAATTTTTGTGGCTAGGCACGAGATTTTTTTGCTGGTTAAATTTTGGTCCAGGAAGTTCTTTGGGTTTTGTTTGAAGCCCTAGGAATTTTTTGGTGGTTTGATTTTTTTTTCCATTCGATAATCCCTGTCACTTAAACTCCGGAATACCCTCCCCCCCGCCCCCCACTGGGCTCTAAACACTGGACTTTTGCCCCCCTGGAGACACGTGGTATGACGTGTTCTGTGGGTGTTGAGAGTTCTAGGTCAGGGCTTAAATCAGAGTGCGCGGATATTTTTCATCAGAGCTTTCTCTGGTCGTTACACCATGCTGACGAGCCCCAAAAAGGGCCAAACAGCTGTCTATGGTTACAATCCCGCTCTTTTTTTGGTTCTTTCGGTGTCGCGTTGATGTGTTGCAGAGTTAATTTTCACGTAGTACGATCAGCATTGCAGTATTCTGCTTGCGGAATTTATTATGTCTACTTATCATTTTTGCTGATCAGGTCTTTATAGATCCTACGTTCTTCGGCATATTCGTTTGCGGTCCTTTGTGGTTAAAGTTTGTACACACATATTGGACAACTTTAAATCGGTGAGAAAATCCAATTGTTTTCGCTTCCTTATGGATTTAGAGTTACAGTGGAACTTAAAGTTTATACACCACAATCCTTTAGCGGCATAGAAGGAGGAGTATAAATAGCTTTTGCCTGAACTGACGTCATTATTGATGAGCGAGCACGTTCTTGCGATCGAAAAGCAGTCTCGTTTAAATGGAACAAAAATCTGAAACCAGATTGAGATACCAATCTGAACGATCCAAGTACGGAGGTGGATCGTTCAGATTGCAATCTTAGATTGGTTTAGTCTTTGATGCAACGAAAAATCAAATTTCGGAACGCGTGACGAACCCCTAAGAACGTTTCCGTGGGAGGCTACCTGTCCGCAAGAAAACGCTTAAACGATAGAAATGCCATAGCATCCCTTACACGGAATGCGCTGAATGGTGTAACAAAAAATCTTCATCGCTGCGAATGTCTAAATAATCAGAAAAACAGTTCAAATTTGGCTTGAAAAGTTTAATTTTCGTTGTGTATAACAGATAAATTGGTGTGAAGTGGGTTTGATCCCAGCCAGACTGGTTACCAGGCAAGGACTAACGAAACTCGCCAAGAGATCAAAGGCATTAAAAATCAAATTTAAACCACCAATTACTTGGTTTTATTTTCTTGGAATTATTAAGTCGACCATAAAGTTGTAGTAATATCAAGCAACTTACTGGGATGGGGCACGTTATACTGTCAGACTTAATACACAGGGCCTTTTATCACCAATAAATAATTCTCCAAGGCATTTTAAGATAGGTGATTGCGGTTCTTTATAAGAAAATAACAGTTATTATAATAACTGGAGAGTTCCAGAAACCACGGCTATGAGAACATTATCAATACAAGACTGTAGAATATGGATGAAACTAAGAAAGCATTTCTTTACATTGCAGGAAAAAGTCTCTTTCCATTCGTATCATGAGAAGTTATAGCCTTCTACAAGTGGTCACGTACTTGAGTAAGTACTAAGACTTTGATTTAAATCGAGTTTTTCTTTTATCGAAGAATTAACACAGAAGTTGTTCTTTCATCGTTTATTCCAACTTGATAATCATATACATCGAATGAGCCGCAAGTATGAAAGCAACATGCTTTAAACAAAACCTTTCAGAGTTGAAAACTTAAAACAATCTAAAGAGAAGAACTCAAAAAAACCAAAATGTTTTTTTAACGTTAAGAATAATCGTCACAGACATGGGTCATATGATTTTCATAATGTTGAAGAAGAAGAGCCTCACTATTCATCTCCTCTTGACAAATCCAACAGCTGTGTTTCTCAATAATGACTGATCGTACATCTGTTACACCATTGTTTCCAGTTTCTCTCTGTGTCTGCGGGTTCTCTGTAAAACCTGTGGCCCTGACATCAACGTTTTCACCTCCTGCTCTATTTCGTTTACATGATTCCGAACTTTTGGATAGACATTTGTTTTTCTGGGAAAATTTACGTGTGTTTTCCTTAGTGTGGTTTCTTTCATGCTTTCTCAGGTTTCGTGCAACGTTAAAACGCTCGCCACACTGTTTACATTCATACGGCTTTTCTCCAGTGTGAACTCTTTCATGAATCCTTAGCGTTCCTGCTTCACTAAAACACTTGCCACACTGTTTACATTCATAAGGCTTTTCCCCAGTGTGAACTCTTTTATGTTTGCTTAGGTCTCCTGCTTGCTTAAAACACTTGCCACACTGTTTACATTCGTAAGGCTTTTCACCAGTGTGAACTCTTTCATGAGTCTTTAGGTTTCTTCCTTCGCGAAAGCATTTACCACAGTGTTTACATTCGTAAGGTTTTTCACCAGTGTGAACTCTTTCATGAATCCTTAGGTGTCCTGCTAAGCTAAAACACTTTCCACACTGTTTACATTCAAAAGGCTTTTCCCCAGTGTGAATTCTTTCATGACACCTTAGGTGTCCTGCTTGACCAAAACACTTACCACACTGTTTACATTCGTAAGGTTTTTCACCAGTGTGAACTCTTTCATGAATCCTTAGGTGTCCTGCTGCGCTAAAACACTTTCCACACTGTTTACATTCAAATGGCTTTTCCCCGGCGTGAAATCTTTCATGTTTCCTCAGGTGTGCCACTTGACTAAAACACTTGCCACACTGTTTACATTCGTAAGGCTTTTCCCCAGTGTGAACTCTTTCATGCCTCCTTATGTGTGCTACTTGACTAAAACACTTGCCACACTGTTTACATTCGTAAGGTTTTTCACCAGTGTGTAATCTTTCATGAATCCTTATGCATCCTGCTTGGCTGAAACACTTGCCACACTGTTTACATTTGTAAGGCTTTTCCCCAGTGTGAACTCTTTCATGTTTCCTTAGGTCTCCTGCTGAGCTAAAACACTTGCCACACTGTTTACATTCAAATGGCTTTTCCCCAGTGTGAATTCTTTCATGTGTCCTCAGGATTGCTGCTTGACTAAAACACTTGCCACACTGTTTACATTCATAACGCTTTTCCCCAGTGTGGAATCTCTTATGAGCCATAAAGTGTCCTTCATTGTTAAAACACTTGCCACACGTCTGACACTCAAAGGACATTGAGGTTGCTTTTCTTTTAATGCTGTACAGTTAGGATACCTTTGGAAAGATGAAAAACGATAATTAGGTCAATACACATTATTTGTTTTGTTGCTGCCAGCATAAACTTTTCGACCAGATGGTGAGAGGCCTGAAGTGAGTAGTTTAAAGGTGGTGTTGTCAGGGACACGTGGAAAATTAGAAAACTTTTAAGACACCTGCTCATGAAAAAGTGGTTCCACACCATAAACCAGCTGATTACATACCTAAAATTTTACATGAACCCTTCAAACTTGAGAATCCATTGACAGGGGTCAGTTAATCATTTGTTGACTTAACATTTGGATCTGAGGGTTGGTAAGTAAGTAAGCAAGTAAGTAACTAAAGGATCTATTTATACACTATAAGATTACAGCGATGCTGATGTGGTCATATGAAAAATTATAAAATAATAAAACTATTTACATAATTAAGAATTTAAAAAAGCTGAAAACGGAATAAAGACTAGCAATAGTACTAAAAGATTACAATGCAGAAAATCTGGAGGACAATTTCTTAACAGAGTGTTTAAAAATTAATTCTCGCAAGAAGAAATTTTTCTCGTATCATTATCTAAATTGTTCCACAGATAACCAGTCATAACATTATATTCATTTGAACAGACTTCTTGTCTTTGGGGTTAGCATATTGAAAGATAATTTATTCCCTAAACTGTATTTGGTTTAATGCTTAACCAATAAGACATTAAGTGGGGAAGGCAAGCGCTCCTAGCTAAGTAACATAAGTGAGCTTCATGTAGTACATGTAGGTGGTGGAAATAAAATGCCACAAAGGCTTTCATTTGAAAGTGTTCAAAACGTCTTCAGTGGGTGTGTACCAGTCTAAGCAGTAAATTATTCCCTGTGATTTATAATACAATACACATTTCTAATTGGTAATTAAGGCTCTTCATGCAGCATTCATCAGACAATATTGGAACTTGCATTACCATAAATCCTCTATGAGGCTATCTGGGGAGTCTTTTTATTTCAAGCATGTTTGATGGGGAGTGCTTAACAGAGAGTGAGGCAGGGGGGTTAATTTATTGAAATGCATAAAGCAAAAAAAGAGACAAAGAAACAGACTAAAGTAACAGTTGCCTCCTTCCTGTTTTGGACCTGGAACATTTAGCAAACAACCATCAGCAGCCAGAAAATGACATCAATTCTCCATAATAAGATTGGAATGCAAAGTGGAGACACTCAAGGACATGACATTAGAGGTCATGCAGAAAAAGATAAAAAGCAAATCGCAACTTCCAGCTCACGAATAAACCATACAGGATCACTCCACATAAAGAGTTATAGTCATGATTTATTAATACTATCTATCACTTATTTATTTGGCCTGAAACGTAACAGGGTTTATTCTAGAAATTGGCTTATAAGAGTCCCTGAGTAAGTGTCCTGTGGGAACCCTCGTTATTTTGTAGGTGGCCATTTTTCAAAAAGAGGGCACAGATACACGTTTACTAAGCTGAAATAATGAATATGAATTCAAATTCACTCTTATTTTGGTGTTATGCTTGTTGCATTTTTTCCAACTGTTTTTGGTCCTTAGATAAGTTTAACAGGGCTCGAAATTAAAAAATTCCTCAGGTCGCCTTTTAGCGTCCAGCTGGAGAAATATAGTCACCAGATGCAAATCTTTAGTCGCCAGTTTGTATAATGTAAAATGACGCAGCTCATAGTCAGGGCTTCTAATATTTTGCGCAGTTGCGGAGCCGCAAAATTCACAAAATACCAGGAAATTCAGTAGGAATCTTATCAAATACATGTCTGTACTACATATTTGAAACTTATCTCAGCTATTGGGGCTATTTACTTGCCGTAAACTTCCAAATTTATCTTGAAACTTTGTCATTGAAACATGCAAACGTCCCAAAACGTAAGGGATGATTATGTTGCGAAAAACTGGGCACTAGCCTAGCTTGCTATTGGTTCATTTCTGGAGGGTATTGTTGCTGAAAGAGGAAATGATGCTCTCTGTTAGAAAAACGTTAAAAACCCTGGTCCGATCAGCGCAAAACCGATTGACCTCTAACGAAATTTTCCCTGACAATAACCACAAAATCAGCCTTTTTTTACCAATGGATTTCCGCAAAGTTTGCCCCGTAAATTCCCGCGAAAATTCAGCCGATTTTTCTGCGAATTTGTCCCTAAAAATCCCGTAAAATTTGACTTTTTTCCGCAACCTATCAGAAGCCCTGCATAGCATGGCGTAATCCACCAGATTTGAAAATATCATGGATGGAAGTCGGTATAAATTTGGAGGTAAACTGGCTTTGTTTATGTGATTTGGCACATTTTTTATGATGAAAGCAAAACAAGATAAGATGAAATGTTTGTTTTAAGTTTACTCTTTTAATTTAAATCTGAATCATAGAGAAATCTGGTCGCCACTTTGGCGACTAAACCAGAATTTTTAGTCGCCAAGGAGAAAATGTTAGTCGCATTGGCGACTGTATCAGTCACAATTTCGAGCCCTCTTTAAAAGAACACCGTCAGCTACAAAACACCACAGACATGGAGTGTTTACTTCAACCCCAAATCAAATCTTCTACTGCAAAGGAGGTTAGCAACGGCAATGGAATAAGACCTGCTTTGGGAAGTTCCATCACATGGTATTAATTTCCTAGGCTTAACATGGATAAAACCTACACTAATAGTAGAAGAAAAGGCAGACAGTCTGGTAGCTCCACTGAAGGCAGCTTAACATCCTCTCCAGTCGACAAGAGACACAAATTCAGTGCAAATGCTTACTTGGAAAACAGCAATAAATCTTCAGAATATATTGCTCAAAATTTGAAACTTGTATTTGAGAAACTGGGAAAACTGGACTAACTAGAATCTCTAACCAACAAAACCCTAAAGAATGGAAATGGTCAAAACAACAGATATCGGTGAGGTGAGGGCAAGTGAGGGCAAGTATGCCAAGGTTGTCAAAATTAGCCGGCTGTCAGTGAAAATCACCGCCTACTTGGTTAGTATCAGCCAGCTACTCTGCTTGGCATTTCTTTACAGATGGCGTTTTTTAAATAAAATATCCCTGGACTGGCCACTTACTTTGACAACTCAGCCATCTACTTCAAGACTTTCTGACAACCCTTATATGTAGTTTCACTGTTCCTCCTTTGAGGGGTTGAAAGCTCGCCTAAATAAAGAACTTGCCTACCAAGAAGCCTATTTGAGAAGCCGGGAAAATCAACTTTTCGAAGGTATCAAAAAAGTTCCAGTTAGAGAAGGTAATTTTGAAGACACGGCGTCAGTTCTGCTCTTGTTTCTATCATCGACCCCGAAGACTGATTCCCACAAGGAAATTGAATTTCAGAGGTTTCACCACCTTGGAGGAAAAAAAGTTCAAAAAAGCCTAGAATCATAATTGCTCGCCTCCTTCGTTATGGTGATAGGCAAAGTAAAGCACAACTTGGCCAATCTCTTCAAGACAACGATTCCACATTTTTGGAGATCTCGCAAAATCAATAGCGCTTTGCACTACCGTCGGTTGCATCTAAGCATGGACACGAGACAAAAAGCATGATCTAATAGGGCGCCAGACATGACGTATTTTGTCGCCAAACGTTTGAAGTTTGACAACCGTTAAAGCAAACTGTCGCGCCAAAGTTAAGTTGTGTATATGTTTTTGATCAGCGCGTTCCGCTCATATTTCATTTTTCCCAACCTTCACACATTTTCTCGCTTAGAAACAGCACACTTGCCTCCAGAAATTATTCTTAACGTCTAAAAATTCTTGCAAAAGATACATGTATTTTTTTTTAGCGAAAACAAATCAAGTCGACAACAGCCACCTACTCCAAACTTTGATTGTTTGGGGGCAAAACATGTCACGTTTGCCTCCGATTACAACATGTTTTTTCCTCACGTGTACACACTTAGCTGCAACTGACAGTATTACTAAAATAGGTTTTGTCACCTTAGACTCCCTGTGTGATTCAGACAAACTGTGCATTCTACTTAAAGCCTTTGTATGAGCAACATGCGTTTCTGACGTGAAAATTGTTCATAAAATTCGCAATGAGCATTTCTAAAATGTTTTTTGAGCTTTATTCTAATGTATAAAAGGCATTACTGCTGTAGGGAGCAAGACCTGGCTTAGGTGACTCAAATAAATGGTTAAAATCAGAAAATAAAGTGACCTGATCAAAGAAGGCTACTGAAATCAAATCCCTAGCCCTGTCTTAGTCAGACAGCACTCTATGCACCTACACATGACATAACACTTCTGGCTGTGCAAAACTCCAAAACCGAAATTATTGCTGAAGAGAAAATCGAGTGTGCATGTGCTCTCACCAGCCTGTGGCAGAATTTCTAAGCTGAAAAGCACACCAACATTAGCACAAACCGGAAATTGTATAAGCTTGTTCTGTTGTTGTGTGGCCAGGTACATAGGTACCTTACAGTACTTTATATCCTTAGTACTAAGTGGCATAATATAAGCAGTTGAAAAAAGGAATTAAACAATCTTTTACCTATAAATTTAACCAAATGCACCGTTTTATGAACAGCTTTGAAGGCCTGCTCACCATACATTTCTTAGTAAAATACTATAACAGAATTTTACCCACAATATTGACACCACATGAGAAATAAAATCACTCATCTGTACAGTTTTTTTCCATGTTTAACATAGTCTCAGCACATCTTGATTATTTTCAGGATATATATTATCAAAAACCAAGCTGGATTTTGTTTCTTTTGATGAAAAAATTTGTTGGCGGACGTAACTCTTATAAACTCTTATACTAGTCAGGTTCAATGTACGAGTCTCAGCAGGGACAAGAAATTTGTAACGTCATTAGTGCAAAGTCAGTGCCAATCAATTCAAGAGTCCAGGAAACAACAAATGCCTAAACCAAAAGCCGCTAGGAAGTAGAAGAAGGTAAGATTGCATATTTTCACCCAAGTAAGCCGGACAAGGTAAGCTCGTTTAGGAAATAATGGATTGAGTCCGCTAAACGTTCACTTCATCAGAACGCTAATCTAGACAGTAGTCAAAAGTTTACTTAGATTTTCTATTTTTGTTTTCCTTCTTTCAACTCACACTGCATTATTACTATAGACACCATTAGAATTTTAAGGATTCAGCTATATATGTATGTACTATGTATGTATGAATGTATTTATGTTTCAACTTTATTTAAAGAGGGTGACACTAAACAGTGAACTGACAAACCTGCCGCCCCCATTATACAACAGTTAACAATTACAATTAAAAATATACATAGAATAATCTGCAAATTACAACATTATTAAAAATACAGCAGTAAAGATACACATAACAAAAATTACAACAAAGAAAATTAAGAAGATGCATTAAAATTCAATTAGACCTTTTTAAAACTATGTACATATTCAATCTTCTTTAATTAAAGAATTTGGCACTGCATTCCACAGTCTTGTTGCCCTTACACCAAAAGTACGCCCCCCCTCCCCCCCTCCCCCCACACTCGGTTTCACGCTTGAAGTGAGGGCAGACCAAGTTTAAGGAGCTATTTCTGTTATTTTGATCATTAATGTCTGAATTTAACACCAAGAGATCACTCATATAGCCTGGGCTATGCCCATTAATATGTTTGTGAACCTCAACAAAGATGTCCACCTTCACATCGAGGTGAAGTGGAAGCCAATCCAATCTCCTAAACAGTTCAACACTGTGTGACTAAAAATTGCTTAATACTTAGATGTGATTAAGCAAGTTCCAAGGAAGGGAGTTGAGCCTGGAGTGGAGATTAAACTGCTCTATTTTTCTTTTCTATTCCTTAAGTGGAAGTATGTTTGTATTGCTACAATCTGGAGCTACAGTCGGCGACAGAGTTAGTTGAGACACTTTGCCCTAAAGCTGATGCTTTACTGACTTCTAAAGGGGAAATAAAGCTTTCCCTCCCCCAACCCCTCCATGCAATGTTGTGCCGCTGTTCAAGCTACCTATAGGAAAGAACAAAAACTGCAACTTTGAATGACGGGCAGTGGGGAGGGAGGTGGATTCTTTTGTTCTCTGTACTTATTACCCTAGTTGAGTACAATGCCTCAATAATTTTGTTGCCGATTGTAGTTTCCTAAACCTGAAGTGAAGTCACTTGATTTGTTGTGAGATGAGATAAAAATCACTCAGGCTGGAAGGAGTGATGTTACATAGACTACTTAGAGATATATGACAGTAGAGAGTTGATCAGAAAATTACACGGGATAAAGTCTCCTGTCTTGTTTAAAGTAAGAGATGCCCTAAGTTAGAAGAACGAACAGTTACTCCATAGAACATTATTTTATTTTCAGTCAAAGGGCAATAAAGGACACTTCTAGCTCAACTTCCGAAGCTTACAGGGCGTGTAAAATGCTTTGCTCGACTACATGCCGAACGCAGTTTAAATCAAGTCATCGATGCGATCATGATGAAAATTACCTTCAAAAACCATTGCAGTGTCATTGAAAGATTTCGCAAGAGGACTGCAATGTCCTGTGTGCCCTGGGTGACTAACATATCCTTAATGTATTGAAAGCTTGTCTTACCTTAAGTAACAAGATATTTCCACCTTGATCAAATCACACGAGGGAAAATGCAACCAAGAAATGGCCTGTCTGGAGGATTCACAGATTCACACATCCGCCGCCATCTTGATTCTGCATTGTGAGAGAAACCTGGGGAGAGTAGTGGTCCGCTGGGGGTCCGCCGGGAGTCCATCGAGGATCATCGTCGGGGATCGTCGGAGATTGTGAGCTGGATGACATGGCTGGGAGGGTTAGGAGAAGAATGTGGGCTAAGGTTTTTTTTACTTGTTTGTTTGTTTGGTAGTTTCAAAGGAATTCAATTGCTGTACTTTTAGGGCATTTACTTTTATTTAGCCTCTCTTCCTTCTATGTGCAAATCGTTTTTCAGATAGGAGGTTAGTACCCTGGGTGCCAGAGGGTTTTTTTCTTTTGTTTGGGGAGAAAATTGAGTCAAAAAACCCCTTTCCCTTTCCTTTCAAGAACCTGCCATGCAGGCCATGGACGGATTAGTTCAACTCTAGTAACTTCAGTTTGATACTGAATGCAGACAAATCCAGCTTACATAGTCTTGAATTAGAAGAAAAGGAGGCGCACGATGTAGACGAAGTAGTATCCAGCGTATGTAAGAGAAACTAAATCTGAACAGTTCTTACAGGAGCTTGGGTTGACAGACTCTTGACGTTCGGATGATGGATTTATTTTTTAAAAATTTCAGCTGGTATTTCTATTCTCGGTTTTCACATGACGTCACCAAAATTCAAACTAAGAAACTATCGATTCTTCTGAGTTTCTGAGTTTCATGAGGTATTACAGCACCTAAACGCCTTTATTTAAACAGAGGTTTGGTTCGAAAGGGTTCTTCGTTTTGCGATAGAGGACGTTTGAATTTCTAGGCTTTTGCGTGACGCGGCATTAAGCTGGCGGCCACAACGGCTCTTATGTGGGTTAAAAACATTACCAGTTTTGGGAGATTTTGCTGTCTAAACATTCCTTGTCTCAGAATAAATATCACTTTAATAGTTTATGAGTTTTTCAAGCGATGAATTAACTCATTAGTAGGAAAACTCAAAAACAGATGTTTCTGTTGGTTTCCGGCGGCCATATTTGTGCCCCGCAAAGGGACACAAACATGGCGTCGCCATACAAAGCTTTGTAAATTTGGGTAAAACGTTTTTCCTAATATCTCGCATATGAAATATCGCACAGACCTGATTCTTGGCGAGGCCTTTTGTTTATTTATCTTCTTTTATTTCCTAGATTCGGGACTTTCTGTATTGAATGGTTTGCAATTTTATTTTTGATTGCGTGACAGTGAAAACCGAGAATAGCTTTTAGCTGATAGAGTTTTGTATCTTTTTCAGCTAACTGATTTTCTTCAACTAGCCATTTTTGCAGCGGATATGAGCACATTCACTTATTTAATATCCTATGTCCAATCTGTACGTTTTAGTTTTTTTTCCGTGGCTGAATTGTGAATTGACTTATAAGTCTCTTAGTATATTTGTGTTTAGACTTAACAGAAACTATAGGTTAAAAATTGTCGATCTTTTAATTTTAGTTTACAAGATGCGGAGAATCAGAGATAACTGGTAAACTTGTTTTGCTATAATCTTCTTAGGTCGTCAGTACTAGATTGATGAAAAAAGAAAACCACGGCGAGAGGCGGTGATAAACATGGTAAACCAAAGCTTTTTTTCTGTAAACCTAACGTAAACCAGGGGCGGATCCAGGATTTTTCTTAGGAGGGGGGTACACTCGTCTCTTGCTCTACTTCAACACCAATAAACCACATAGTTTTTTTTTTTGCAGAATACCAGTTGTATTGAAAAACCGCAGGTCATCTTAGCGGGGGGGGGGGGGGGGGCGCAACCTCGTCCCCAGGGCTTTTCCCTTAAAAAATATTTTTTAAGGGAAAAGCCCTGGGGACGAGGTTGGGGTGTGCGCACCCCCTACACCCTCCCCCTAGATCTGCCCCTGTAAACTTTGCCTCATTTTCAAAATTAATTGTGTTGATATCAAAATTTCAAAACGATTACAAAATTGTCTAATCTTGGCTATCACACCCTAATATCCGTACAGTACGCGTCCAAAAAATCCAGATTGTTTGGATTTTCGTGCCAGCCGGAACAAAGTTATATTTATTCCAATAAGCGCCCAAACTCGAATTAGCGCTCACCTCGAATAAGCGCCCATCCAAGAGGCAGGAAAAGTTAATAAGCGCCCTGCCTCAAATAAGCGTCCACCCGCACCCCACCGGCCCTCCCATTCCCACTCAAACTCAAACAAGCACCCACCCTCTACCCCTACCCTACCCCCCTTCCTCCCACGACACACAACAAAATGAATAAGTACAAATAAGAGACTTCCCCGAAGACGGATTTTTCGTCAGAGTATTTTACAGAAGCCTTGCATTGTTACATCTTCTCGTTTTGTTGTTATTATTTCTTGTTTTGTGGCAAAATAAACATACTACACTCGCTTAAAATGGTGAAAATTCAATAAGCGCCCAGCCTCAAATAAGTGCCCACCTCGAATAAGCGCCAATTCTCAAGATCCAAAAATTAATAAGCGCCTAGGGCGGTTAATCGAATAAATACGGTAACTGGATCATACAGCAGCTGCCTGAGGCTCGGATCTCCTTCTCAATTTCAACACTTTCCGCAAAACTCAGCGTCTCCTCTTAGTGGAGAAATGGAAACGAACGTTGCTCTTTAACTAGTGGTGGTTCATACTATTGCCACTTGTCAACTTAAAATATCTGGAATTTGATTCAAGAACATTCAGAAGACAATTACTAATTCTCAAGTGCTGAGAAGCGCGCTCTAAGCCCCAGCGGGCTGGGGAAGGGGGAATACTCTAGATATACAGCCGGACAGGGATGATCAAATGATTTCTTTTGGAAATTTTCGATTTCGGGATTTGTTTGGATAGGAAAATTTTGCAAATATTTTTTGGGCAGTTTGATTTAAGTAAGGATTGTTTTGGGTATTGAAAACAATCTGAAGATTCATGATAGTTATGTCATTTAACGCTTCTTGGAAATTTTTATGGCTGGGCACGGGAGTTTTTTGCGGGTTAAATTTTGATCCAGGAAGTTCTTTGGGTTTCGTTTGAAGCCCTAGGAATTTTAGGGGGGGGGGAGTTGATTTTTTTTCCATTTGATAATCCCTGTCACTTAAACTGCGGAGTACCCGCCCCGCCCGTCCCCCACTGGGCTCTAAACACTGGACTCTTGCCCCCCAGAAGACATGTGGTATGACGTGTTCTGTGAGTGTTGAGAGTTCTAGGTGAGGGCTTAAATCAGAGTGCGCGGATAGTTTTCATCAGAGCTTTCTCTGGTCGTTACACCATGCTGACGAGCCCCAAAAAGGGCCATTCAGCTGTCTACAGCTACAATCCCGCTCTGTTTTTGGTTCTTTCGGTGTCGCGTTGATGCCTTGCAGAGTTAATTTTCACGTAGTACGATCAGCATTGCAGTATTGTGCTTGCGGAATTTAAATATGTCTACTTATCATTTTTGCTGATCAGGTCTTTATAGTTCCTACGTTCTTCGGCATATTCGTTTGCGGTCCTTTGCAGTCCTTTTTGGTTAAGGTTTGTACACACACATTGGACAGCTTTAAATCGGTGAGAAAATCGGAGTAGCCAAAACCTAAACATCCCTCTTTTCAGAACTGCCTCCGGACAGAGAACCTTTTATTACAGGACTGTTAAACTTTGGAACAATTTGGAATCTTTTCTTAATCTGTTGAAATTTTTAAACGTTCTTTAAGGAGCCAGCTTTTAGATAATTTTGTAAATACTTCTTAGTTAAGTTTAAAAAATTGTAATTAGTAATAAGCTAACACTGTAATTAGTATTAGATTAAGTGTTGTAATTAGTTATTATAAATAATGTAATAGAATCATTGTTCCTGAAAAGCCCCTTTGGGGAGGTAACAATAAAGTACCAATCTGAACGATCCAAGTACGCAGTGCCGTAACCAGACCAAACGGCCAACCGAGGCAGGCCGGAGTTGCTAGAGGGGTTCGGGGGCATGCCCCCCCCCCCTCCCTTCGAGAAATTTTGAACTTTAGTCTCTCGGAAATGCGATTTGCAGCGTTTTCTGGGCCTTTCGGTAACTTTTTTTCGAGTTAATTTAAGTGGAATTTAAAAAGCAATAATCAGAAACAAGCTACATAATCTGGGTGACCGTTAACCTCGCCAATGGTTTTGATCAGTATTTGTTCAAAAAAAATTTGAGTTAACGTACGTAGCCCCTTGAGATCGATGATATGGTAATTTTTTCATAGTATATTGACTGAATTGCTGAATTCTTTGTAATATCATGATGCGTTAAAAATATCCGATGATCGCTTATGTAAAATAAAAATGATCGGCGAAATTCGTCAAAATTTTACCGAGGCGAGTGCCTCGGTTGGCCTCATACTAGCTACGGCGCTGGTACGGAGGTGGATCGTTCAGATTGCAATCTTAGATTGGTTTAGTCCTTGATGCAATGAGAAATCAAAGTTTGGATCGCAAAATCCGGATGTAGATTGGTCAAAAGGAACGGAACCCAAAACCGTAACGTATTTCAATCGTCTTCGCCTGTCCACAAGAAAACGCTTTAACGATAGAAATACGATAGCGTCCCTTACACGGCATGCGCTGTATGGTGTAACAAGAAATCTCCGTCGCTGCGAATGTCTAAATAATCAGAAAAACAGTTCCAATTTAGCTGGAAAAGTTTAATTTTCGTTGTTTATAACAGATAAATTGGTGTGAAGTGGGTTTGATCTCAGCTAGAGTGGTTACCAGACAAGGACTAACAAAACTCGCCAAGAGATCAAAGGCATTAACAATCGGATTTGAACCACCAATTACTAGCTTTTATTTTCTTGGAATTATTAAGTTGACTATAAAGTTGTAGTAGTATCAACCAAGTTACTGGAATGGGGCACTTTATACTGTCCGACTTAATACATAGGGCCTTTCAACACCAATAAATATTCTCAAAAGTCATTGATAAGTGACTGGCATTCTTTAATAGGGGTAACAGTTATTAAAATTACTGGAGAGTTCCAGGAACCACGGCCATGAGAACATCATAAATACAAGACTGTAGTATATGGATGAAAGTAAGAAAGCCCTTTTTTACATTGTAAGAAAAAAGTTTCTTTCCATTCATATCATGAGAAGTTATAGTTTTCTATAAGTGGTCAGGTACAAACGTAACGCTTAAAATTAAGAGTAGTCTGCTACACAGCCCGTTTTAGTGCCGTCACGCAACGCTCCTCCGACAAACCGTTTGTCGGGAGGAGCGTTGCGTGAAGACACTAAACACGGCTCAGTGGCAGACTAAACTAAGAGGCAATAAGACTTTGATTTAAATCCAGTTTTTCCTTTATGGAAGAATTAATGCAGAAGTTGTCCCTTCATCGTTTATTCCAACTTGACAATCATGCACATCAAATGAACCGCAAGTATAAAAGCAAGATGCTCTAAAAAAAACCAATAGAAACTTTAAGAGTTGCAGAAATAATAAATGTTTTAAAAGCACCGAAAAAACAAACAAAAGAGAAGAACTTAAAAGAACCAAACCGTTTTTTAACTTCAAGAATAATCGTCACAAACATAGGTCATGTGATTTTCATAATGTTGAAGAAGAAGAGCCTCACTACTCATCTCCTCTTGACAAATCCAACAGCTGTGTTTCTCAATAATGACCGATTGTGCTTTGGTTACACCATTGTTTCCGGTTTCTCTCTGTGTCTGCTGGATCTCTGTAAAGCCTGCGGCCCTGACATCAACGTTTTCACTTCCTTCTCTCTTCCGTTTACAGGATTCCAATCGTTTGGACAGACATTTGTTTTTCTGGGAAAATTTAAGTGACCTTTCCTGAGTGTGGAATCTTTCATGACTCCTCAGGTTTCCTGCTTGGTTAAAACACTTGCCACACTGTTTACATTCATAAGGCTTTTCCCCAGTGTGAACTCTTTGATGAGTCCTTAGGCATACTCCTTGGCTGAAACACTTCCCACACTGCTTACATTCATACGGCTTTTCTCCAGTGTGAACTCTTTCATGGCCCTTTAGGTGTCCTACTTGGCTAAAACACTTACCACACTGTTTACATTCATAGGGCTTTTCCCCAGTGTGAACTCTTTCGTGAGTCCTTAGGTGTCCTGCTTCACTAAAACACTTGCCACACTGTTTACATTCATAAGGCTTTTCCCCAGTGTGAACTCTTTCATGAGTCCTTAGGTTTCCTGCTTCACTAAAACACTTGCCACATTGCTTACATTCGTAAGGCTTTTCCCCAGTGTGAACTCTTTCATGTCTCCTTAGGACTCCTGATCGGCTAAAACACTTGCCACACTGTTTACATTCATATGGCTTTTCCCCAGTGTGAACTCTTTCATGCCTCCTTAGGTCTCCTGCTTGTCTAAAACACTTGCTACACTGTTTACATCCAGAAGGTTTTTCCCCAGTGTGAACTTTTTCATGGCTCTTTAGGTGTCCCGCTCGGTTAAAACACTTGCCACACTGTTTACATTGATATGGCTTTTCCCCAGTGTGAACTCTTTCATGAGCCCTAAAGTGCCCTGCATTGTTAAAACACTTGCCACACTGCTGACACTCAAAGGACATTGAGGTTGCTCTGATTTAAAGGTTTTACAGTTAGGATACCTTTGGAAAGATGAAGAACCATAATTAGGTAAATACACATTATTTGTTTTGTTGCCGCCAGCATAACCTTTGGGGCCTGGTGGTGAGAGGCCTGAAGTGAGTAGTTTAAAAGTGGTGTTGTCAGGGACATGTGGAAAATTAGAAAACTTTTAAGACACCTGCTCATGAAAAAGTGGTTCCACACAATAAACCAGCTGATTAGATACCTAAAATTTTATATGAACTCTTCAAACTGGAGAATCCATTAACATGGGTCAGTTGATTATTTGCTGACTTTGTATTTGGATCTGAGAGTTCTTTGTGCTTTGTAAAATAACGCACTTTAAAAATAATGGTAAGTAAGGTTCATCATACAGCATTCATACTGACAATATAGTGAAACCTGTATTAAAGCCTGTACTATAAATCCGCTGTTAAACTCCCTGGGGCCTTTTCATTTCAAGCATGTTTGATGGGGGGGGGCTTAACAGAGAGGGAGGATTATTTGAGAGGGTGCAGGGTTATTTAATTTGCTGTGAAATGCAACAATTAACACAAAAAAGGAAGGGGAAGGAACAGACTGAAGTAATGGTTCCCTACTTCCTGTTTTGGACCAGGAACAGACAAACAACCAAACAACAGCCAGAAAATGGTATCAATAATTGATTCTTCGTAATAACACTAGAATGGAAAGTGGAAACACTCAAGCACATGAAATTGGAAGATCAAAAATAAATCGCAACTTCCATACAAGATCAGTGCAAATGAAGTGTTACAGTCGGATTTATTTATCCCTTTAAGTCCCAGGAGTGATCAACATCAATTTTCCTTAAACAACATCACTATATAATCAAGTAGAAAGGTTATGAGAATGAATAAAATGATCACTTAAACGAAATATGCTTTGATCTTTAAACAAATTCTCTCAACCAATTTTTCAAGAATTGTATGGAGGCCAGTGTGGAGGATTTCCATGTTGATCTTGAAGCTTAAAGGGTTATACCACCTATCACTCATTTATTTGGTCTAAAGAGTAACAGGGTTTATTCTAGGAATTGGCTTATTCTCTTACTCTTGGTAAGAGTCCAGTGGCCACCCTTGTTCTTAGTCTGTAGGTGGCTTCTGGCTTCTGGTTGGTTTTCAGGCACCAATCAGAAGCCAGTAAAGCAGCGACCATTTGGAACTGGTCTGGTAAGACATTGTGCCCAGGCGCTCTTCTCGCCGTTCTTTACTTTTCATTGTTCCATACATATTTTTCCGCCCGTTTAGAATTTCCCTCGCCCCCTTTATCTGCTCCTGGGTCTCCGAGGATGCGCCACCCCCTCCCTGCTCCCTTTGACTCGCCCCATCTCCTCCTCTCCTTGGGAAGTTTCAACATGGCGCTTTCGCGAGCAAATTGCACGTTCAAAGAAAACACCTGCACTGCAGGCTATTTCTCAAGAAAAATAAAAACAACCATTCGCAAAAACAACAAACGGTAAAGCCAAGAGCACTTGCATGTACAGTTGCATATGCAAAGATAAAAAAAAGGAAAAACGAAAGGTTTATCTTAAAGTTTGGAAAATTGACTCAGTATTTTTGTATGAAGTCTAACTTTTGAACTATCAAAACTGTTTTTATACTTGTCAAGGTATGTGTTTACATGCTTTGCACTAGGCAGTGTCAAGGCTACTGCCTAATGGGGGCCTGGTCACCAGAGGCTCCTACAATTTACTTATAGACAACCAAAATATGAAACAAAAAGCCTGAACAGGTGCATGAAAATCATAATTCTCAGGATAACTCCTGTTAAATTAACAAAAAAATTTCCCTCTCATTCTGCTCTTTTGAAGCAAAAACAGAAAATGTTTGGTCATCAGCCATAGGAAAAAATATTTCCGCCAATAAAACGTAAACAAACAAGCACTTGTCTTGCTGCAGACTGTAGTTCAAGTTGCTTGTCTCAAAATGGAGACAAATGAATTTCATAGCCTTAGAAAAACTGTCAATAATAAAATCAAGACCTTTTCCCCAGCATCAGAAATATTAGGTCACTATTGCATGTAGTAAAATGATACAAAGTCGTGATGCATGGGAAAGCAAGAGATTTCATTTACACATGACAAAAAGTATTTTATTTTTAATTTTGCAAGTTTGTAGTGTTTTCTATCTTGCTACGAACACAAATGGTACAATTAAAGGTTTATTTTATCATTTATTCAGCGTTATCTGCTCCTCCCTATTTTTTGCTGTATGTTTTGTGGAAACTCTTGAAAGGCTTGCAAAAACATATCAGTTTTTGAAAATCTTCATGGCGGTTATTCAAGATCATTTAGACATAGACATAGACACTTTCTTAACCCTTTACAGGGTAATTTGTTGTATTGCACGGCACATTTTGCAAACTTAGAACGGATTTTGGGTTTTTCTGTTCCGTCAATCATGCATTTTAGTGAGGCGAGGTTAAAGCAAATCACAATGTAATGTGTTCGCCCAGCTTGGCTGAGAATGACTCCCACTGCTCAAGAATAGTGAAGGAAATCGCGATGGTGAGTGGATTTTTTGTAGAAGGAAGGACACAGAAATTGCTTTATTCTTGCAAGTGACAAGATTGAGAAAGATCATAAAACTTTGCGAAGCAAACTTAACTAGTCGATTATTGCCCAAAACAGGACGATCACAAAGCAACAAGCCTTGTAATAGGAAACAAACAAAACAAATCGAGATCCACCAATCACAAATGACAAACCATGACCTTTTGAACTTGTGCAAGTAAATATAAATTTCCTTACGAAGATGATTGAGGGAACACAAAAACCCAAAATATGCAAAATGCACAGCGGGATACAACAAATTTCGCTTTAAGTCGCAATAGTGACCAACATTAATTTTCTCCTAACGATATCCATGCATCATCAAAAGAAAAGTTTATGAGAATTACACCTTTTGCTGTTTATTACGAGAAAACATGTATTTAATTGCATAAAACGGCAATCAATAGCGCAAAGATCCATTCATTAGAGTGAAAAAAAGGAACATTTGCCCATAAATCATATTCAATTACGATTTTTGCATAATTAATCAACATTCAATAAACTGCTCTATTTTTCTTATCCTTTCCTTAAGTGGAGGTAAGTGTGTTTTGCTACAATCTACAGCTACCATTGGTGACAAAATTACAACGTAGTTGAGACACCTTACCCTAAAGCCTATGCTTTACTGACTTCTAAATGGGAAATAAAGCTTTCCCTCCCCCATCCCCTCCATGCAATGTTGTGCCGCTGTTCGAGCTACCTACAGTTAAAGCAACAAAAACTGCAACTTTGAATGAAGGCGAGTGGGGAGGGAGGTAGATTCTTTTCTTCTCTGTACTTATTACACTAGTTGAGTAAAATGCCTCAATAATTTTGTTGGCGATTGTAGTTTCCTACACCTGAAACGAAGTCACTTGATTTGTTGTGAGATGAGATAAAAATCACTCAGGCTGGAAGGAGTGATGTTGCATACGCTACTAAGAGATATATTACAGTGGAGAGTTGATCAGAAAATAACACGGGATAAAATCTGCTGTCTTGTTTAAAGTAAGAGATGCCCTTAGCAGAACGAACAGTTACTCCATAGAACATTATTTTATTTTCAGTCAAAGTGCAGTAAAGGACACTTCTATGTTCGCACATTTTAGATCAACTTCCGAAGCCTACAGCAGGGCGTGTAAAATGAACAGAAATAAATTGGTTTATCGGCCCAGTTACGCTACAATCGGAATTATATGCTTGACTAAATACCGAGTGCAGTTTAAATCAAGTGATCGATGCGATCATGATCTATATCACCTTCAAAACCCATTGCAGTGTCACTGAAAGATTTCGCAAGAGGACGGCAATGTCCTGTGTAACCTGTGTGACTAACGTATTCTTAATGTACTGAAAGCTTGTCTTACCTTAAGTAGCAAGATATTTCCGCCTTGATCAAATTACACGAGGGAAAATGCAACCAAGAAATGGCCTGTCTGGAGGATTCACAGATTCACACATCCGCCGCCATCTTGATTTTGAATTGTGAGAGAAACCTGGGGAGAGTACAAAAACACGCCGGCGGTCCGCCGAGGGTCCGTCGAGGATGATCGTCGGAGATTGTCGGAGATTGTGAGCCGGATGGTTAGGAGAAGAACGTGAGCTAAGGTTGTTGTTTTTTTTTTTTACTTGTTTGTTTGTTTGGTAGTTTCAAGGAATTCAATTGCTGTACTTTTAGCGCATTTACTTTTATGTAGCCTCTCTTCCTTCTATGTGCAAATCTTTTTTCTGATGGAAGGTTAGGGATAGACAACAAGAAACGTGTTTGGGGTAGTGAGGGCTGTTTTCGTTGGCCATATTCCTGTAGGCTGCAGCCCCATGAGTTATTTTTTCGAGTTTTTCAAGCGAGCAAGGCCAAGCCAAGGGTGGGTTTGGAGCACCGGGGTGAAGTGAAAACCACGGACTTTGATCAGATCAATGAAAAACGGTCCCCGGTTACTAACAAAATACAACAAAACGCAGCCAGAGCTGACTCTGTGATTGAACTTTGACTTCTGGTGTTTTCCCGCCTTTCTTGTTCTTTCTTGTTTTATAAATACGGTTCTCAATGACAATGGACTGTTGTACTAAAAGTTATGTTAAGCTGGTTGCTACAAGTCAGAGGATGATGAAATCTGCTTTCAAACTTTTCCTCTACCAATCTCGGCGTAACCACTTGAAGTAAATCCGCGATCGTTTTTTAATCGAACTTAATCGACCGATAATGTTCGATTAAGTTCGGTGATCGAAAAAAATCGAACTCTCACAGAAAAAAAAGTAATTAAATCGAACTTTGAGTGAGTTCGATTAGGTTCGTGGCAGGCGTTTGAAAGGGAACTGAAAGGGGGTTTTGAGCGCGAAAGAAACGCGAGGGGGCCGCCCCAAAACACCCACTTTCCCTTCCCTTTCAAGCGCCTGCCACGCGGGCCATAGACGGATTCAGAGTTCGACTCCAGTAACTTCAGTTTGATACTGAATGCAGACAAATCCAGCTTACATAGGCTTGAATTAAAAAAAATAAAACGAGGCGCACGAAGTAGTATCCAGGGTATGTGAGAGAAACCAAATCTGAACAGTTCTTTAACGAGCTTGGCTTGACAAACTCTTGACGTTCGGAAGATGGATATATTTTTAAAAAATTTTAGCTGGTATTTCTAGAGCTTTTTTTATCTCAATGGATTTTTGTATCTTTTTAAGCTAACTGATTTTCTTGAATTAGCCATTTTTCCAGCGGGTATGATCACATTCAGGTTTTTAATATCCTATGTCCAATCTGTACATTTTAATTTTCTTTCCGTGGCTAAATTGTGAATTGACTATATCAATATATTTGTGTTTAGACTTAACAGGTACTAACCGAAACTATTGGTTAAAAATTCTTTTAATTTTATTTTACAAAATGCGGAGAATCAGAGATAACTGGTAAAACTTGTTTTGCTATGATCTTCTTGGGTCATCATACTAGGCGGCGAGAGGCGGTGATAAACATGGTAAACCAAAGCTTTTTTTCTATAAACCTAACGTAAACTATGCCTCATTTTCAAAAGTAATGTGTGAAAATCAAAATTTCAAAACGATTTCAAAATTGTCTTATCTTGGCTATCACAACCTAATATCCGGACAGTACGCGTCCATAAAAATCCAGACTGTTTGAATTTTCGTGCTAGCAGGAACAAACATTTGAAATAACTGGATTGATCCATACAGTAGCTGCCTG